TTCAATAGAATTCCAATAGAAGTTTCTAGCGAATTCGGTATATTTTCTATTGAATTTTTTCATAGGTGTCTTCCCGGAAAAAATGACTTTGAATTTATATTCAACAAGTCAATGATGCCTTACATACTATTTTTTTACAGAAATGAAAAATAATTTTATGAATGCATATTAGAATTAATAGTTTCTAATGTGTATTTCTCTCTCTCTCTGTAACACTATGAAGGATTCAATCAACTCAACTAACTACATATTTGCAAATATTCCAAGTGGTTTGGGAATAGATAGAAGACGTGTCTTTATCGGAATGAAAAATTATTGATTGGTTTTTTTACGTATACATATGAAGAAATGCAACTGAAATCCTGATGGACTCAGTTGGGTATTCCATTAGAATATTGACGATTCGACCGCTTTTCCATCCGTTTTTTCGAGTAGCTACATTCAACAAATATAATAGGTATCCAATGAAAGAAAATCCTTAGATTTTTATTTTTTTATGAAATTTCTGTTGTGGAGATCTTTTCATAGAAACTTGTTTTCCTAAATTCGTGAGGTTTTTCATATGGAATTCTTCGTTTGCTATTTAAAAAATCGAAAATTTATGTCTCGGATGTGTTTTATAGAAAAATTGTAATTCATTGATAATCCCTATCGGAAGAAACGAGTGGAAAAACTGCTGAATTGACAATAGAAATCACTGAAGAATTGGAATTCCCGATAGAATTTTCTATTGATTTCCTTCCCAGAGTGTTAACCACAGATTGCCTGAAATAATGGATCTGATCTCATGGATAGTGCGATCAAGGTATGAAAAATTTACAGAAATTAATTCTTATAATATCTCAGAAACCGTTGGGCAGAATAGGTCTTTCCTTTTTAACATTAGAATGGAATTTCCGTCATCTAAATTGCATGCTCCGTAATCTTCAATCTCATCAAGCTCTTAAATATAATAAACCATTTGTGAATAAAATATGCAATCCTCTGTTCGATTTTTCTCCTGTATCGCCAGTTGAATTATACAAACAAATTGGAATTCTCCTTTCCATCGCAATATACAAAATTCCAAAGAAATATCTGAGATGTTCGGAGAAGGAAATTTTCAAGAAATCGCGTAAACCTTTTTCCTCCCAAAACTTGATGGATTTCCCATTAGAATTTTCTATTGATTTCCTTCCCAGAGTGTTAACTAAAGATTGCCTGAAATAATGGATCTGATCTCATGGATAGTGCGATCAAGGTATGAAAAATTTACAGAAATTAATTCTTATAATATCTCAGAAACCGTTGGGCAGAATAGGTCTTTCCTTTTTAACATTAGAATGGAATTTCCGTCATCTAAATTGCATCCTCCGTAATCTTCAATCTCATCAAGCTCTTAAATATAATAAACCATTTGTGAATAAAATATGCAATCCTCTGTTCGATTTTTCTCCTGTATCGCCAGTTGAATTATACAAACAAATTGGAATTCTCCTTTCCATCGCAATATACAAAATTCCAAAGAAATATCTGAGATGTTCGGAGAAGGAAATTTTCAAGAAATCGCGTAAAACTTTTTCCTCCCAAAACTTGATGGATTTCCCATTAGAATTTTCTATTGATTTCCTTCCCAGAGTGTTAACTACAGATTGCCTGAAATAATGGATCTGATCTCAAGAATAATGCGATGAAGAAATGAAAAATTTCTAGAATTTATTCTTATAATATCTCGGAAACCGCAGGTAAAAACGGATCTTCCTTCTTTAACTTTAGATTGGAATTTCCGTCATTTGAATTGCATCGTCCGTAACCTTCAATCTCATCAAGCTCTCAAATATAATAAACCATTTGTGAATAAAATATGCAATCCTTAGTTCGATTTTTCTCCTGGAGTCGAACTTTCCATCACAATGTCCCAAATTCCAAGGCAATATCTGACATGTTTAGAGAAGAAAATTTTTACGAATTCCTCTAAAACTTCCTCTTCCTAAAACTTGATGGATAAATTGATGAAATTCCCAACAGAATTTTCTACTAATTTCCTTTTCAGAGTCTTAAGTTCTCAAATATGCAAACCCCAATTCGAGTTTTCTCCTATATCACCAGTAAAGTCATAAAAACAAATTGGAGGCCCCTTTTCCATCACCATATCCCAAATTCCAAAGAAATATCTGACATTTTTAGAGAAGAAAATTTCCAAGAATTCTCCCAAAACTTCCTCTGACCCCATCCTACAGCTCTCCAGTAAAAATAAAAAAAATTAGTCTATGCCAGAGCATTTATGAGGGTATTTACGATGCCTCAATTTATATTGTCGGAAAATCCTGGAAAATGTTTTAGCTTACAAGTCCCTGGTGCGTCCTTCGGGCTTTAGCTTTTGCTTACCTAATCTCTTGTTATGTGGCGCGTCCTCGAAAGGAGGTTTACAACATATACAACAGTTTAAGTGGGAGAAGAGAGAAAAAAGAAACGATCGAGGAAGGAGTTGGAGGTGCGAGAGAACCGATGAGCTATCCAATGGCTCGTAAACGACTGGTTAGAAAGAGGATGAAAAAAAAATGTGGAAAAAAAAGAGCACTTCTGATTGTAGAGAGGGGCTATGGAGAGGATGAGAGAACAATCGGTGTCCCTGAGACTTCTTTCAAACTGTCGGTGTAAAACGTTAAATAACAATCTTGGAACGATTAGCCGATTACGTCAGAGATTTCTTGAAAATTATTACAGATTTGTTGGTAAATGTGGTGTTTCACTGTTTCCGTTATGCAGAGAAAAAAAAAAGTTTCTAGTTTCCAAGAAACATTTATGAATTTCAAAATTCTGCATTAATAATATTTACTGAGCAGAAAATCATGGAGATACGTGAAATTTCCATTCATTTTTTAAAATATAATTTGCGATTTTCTCTTAAAATTAACTTAATTCGTTAAGGCACATTTGCTCTTATTTTAAGGAAATCTGGGATCTGGAACTCAGAATTTTCAGGTTCTTTAAATAAGAATCTTGGGGTTCTTAAATCAAGACCCGTTTTTTCCTCTTCTCAAATTAATCTGCTCATGTTAATGAATCTTGTGTTATTGAAAGTATTTTGCCTGAAACCTTGACTGAAGTAAGGTCGAAATAATATTCAATCACTACAGAATTTTATCCTTTTCAAATATTCTTACTTTCAGAAAACAGAAAAACCTAAACGTAATTTCCGATTAACGTCAATATAATGTTCGGTGGCTTTTTTTCCGGCATAAAAATCGGCATTTGGACAGCAAAAACGAATGTCTGAATTTCAAACATCTATTGTAGACATTTTTTAGACACTAAAAAACGGTTGAATAAAATGAAAATTTGTCTGAATTTCAAACATAAATTAAGATATTTAGGCACCTGTTATTCTAAAATTTCGACAAATTTGCATTTTATTCACACGTTTTTTAGTGTCTGAAAAAAGTCTACAAAATGTGTGTGAAATTCAGACATTCGTTTTTGCTGTGTGGCCTTTAAAGAAGTGTATTTTACGGCCAAAGTAAAAACGTAAATTACGCATAAACAAAGCGTCTTTTACATTTATCAAAACATAATTTACGTTTACCAAAACGTAATTTGCATTTACCAAATCGTAAATTATAATCTTAATGAACGAATTTTACGATTGTCTTACGCGCATTTTTATTTACATCATTGCCCAGTGAAGAAGGCAGAAACACTGATAAAATAACCAACGTTCTAAGTAACCTCGCGTTTTAGAAACAACTTCAATAATTAATTGAATACTAAAAATAACGATAAAACTTCTTCACATTCCTCAGATAATTTGTTTTACTCATCAATAATTATTCAGTTCTCTGGAACATTTCCTTATCTTTCGAAAACAACTGAGGAGACCCCTTGGAAAATCCAATGATTCTTGATTAAACAATCCAACTCACTTGAAATAAGTACGTTTTTGATACTGAATTTGAGACTTTTTCTTCTAAAATTGAGTTACCAGTTCTTTATTCTCACTACAGTGTCTTCTAGAAGTATGAGTTTCCTAAGAGGGGGGATAGCCCTCAAATTTGGAAGTCTGGTCGTTGAAAGGAGCCGTCGAGCGACTTTTGGCACATGATGGGACATCTAAAATAGCCGGAAATGTGTTAAATTCAACTTACTTTATCCAGTAGTCGATAGTAAAAATTCATTCTTTAATGTTTCACTTGAAAATTGTTCCGGAATAACAATTTTCATCCCATCTAGAGTTCTTTCTTGTTTCATAAATATTTGTTAAACTCCAAAAGCTAAAATATGATATCTATTTTTTGAATTACAGAATATATGGAGAGAAAATTTTATTAAAAATTAGTGTGATAAGATCTTCGAAACTTATAGTGAAGACCGAGGCGAAACCGAAGAATGCAATGACAGGAGTCAGAAAAATTGTTTTTGGCCGAGTGATAAACATAATTTTTTTGTACAAGGTAAAATGACGTTTAACGGACAGTGTGATTAAATAAAAATATATTTATTAGCAAGAGGAGTCAAAATCATCGCTTGACAAAATACCACTTCATTAATGATAGTCTTTCCAACCATCAAAAGTATTCAATCCAAAAAATTTGGCGATTTTTTCTCATCTTCTTCTTGCAGATATGAATAATCATGACGTGACACACTATAATTTCCATTTTCAATAATATTTTGTATTTATTTCGCGTAAGAAATTGAGTAAATACAGTTTCCATACAATCGATATTCTGAGAAATCATATCAACTTCATAATAAACAATTTTCAAAAATATCAGACATTGTACAAATAACAAAAAGAAAATCAAAGAATGAATATTACCGATAGAAGAAACGAAAAGTAAAAATCCCCGTTGTATGTTATCAGAGATTGAAAGAAATTTTTTTTTTTTTTTTTTTTGAAACGTATTAACCCGTTTGGGTTATATTACAAAAAAAATAGGGTTCACTTGGACATTTTATGTTTATACATAGAGCTCTTCAGTTACATGTTTACATATTTTATAAGTCTTTAGGATTGGTTCTTTTTTTTTTTAATTCTTTCTAGATTACATTCTAATTTCACCGGTTTTGGAAAAATTCAATCATCTTCTCGATACTATCAATCCATTATTGGGTTGTTTAATCTTTGACAGGTTTATATCTTTATTTTGCATTTCTTAACGAATTCGTGTATGATCTTGAGTGGTACCAGGTCCTTTGCCAACAGGAATGCGGCTATGGTGTACCGTCTAGGATATTTCCCGATGATTAGTTTGTCAATCATAAGCTCTCTGTCTTGGCCGGAGTATTCAGGACATTCCCACAGCACGTGGTTAATATCCTGAACCTCGGCCCCACAGCCGCATTCCCGAGTCGAGACAACTTTAATTTTCATGAGAGATTCGTTCAGGTGATAATGTCCTGCTCTGGCCCTGTTCACCCATACAATGAGATCCCTAGGGAGTTTGGCTTCATGATACCAAGGATGGACATTCTTCCTCCAATAGTATTGGAAGAAGAGCGCACCCTTGGGTTTGTGTTCACGCTCGGCTTGGGCTCTTATGGCTTCCCTGGTGCTCGCATGCCCTTCGGCCTTGAATTTGGCCTTAAAGTCCGTAGGTGGAACCGGGTACTGCTCCCGGCTGCATTCCGTGGCATTTTTCGCCAGATTATCAGCCACCTCATTTCCCTGAATCCCCCTATGCGTGGGAATCCAGCGGAAGACAATTTTTGTGTTGTACGGGTTGTTGTCCAGAAATTCCCGATATTTCTTTTTCGCGAGCAATATGTATGGGTTGATATGCGGATGAAAGTGAATGGATTCCAGGCTCTGTATGGCACTAAGGGAGTCAGAGAGTATGAGGTGGGTGGTATCCCTGGTGCTCTTGGCTACATCCAATGCAAGATTCAGCGCAATGTACTCCGCGCTGTACACCGAACAGTGAGTGTCGAGGAGGACTGAGGAACCAATGCCCAGTTTCGGACAGTGACAACCCGCCCCCACGTATCCAGCGTCTGGGTCCTTCCTACCATCTGTATATATTACGTTGAAGTGTTGGAAGTTCTGTTCCAGTTCTAGTCCCAGAGCCTCGGGAGCAAGAAGATTTTGTAGGGACGTTCCAAGGTTGCTGGCGGTTTTGATGGAAGTGAATAGGGTGGGGAGATAGTGGATGAATATGCTAAAGTTGTCATCACCCATCACTAAGTATTCGAGTTGTAAGACCTCTCTGATGGCCTTGGTGATCAACTCATTCCTAGCAAGTTTTCGGGTTTTTTTCTCCTTGAAAATAAGGGAGATTGTGTCATGAACTTGGGTGGATTGGTTGCTCAGGACCTTGATTAGGTAGGACTTTGAAAGGAAGCGTGCTCGTTCCTCTATGGACATGAGCTTGGATTCACCTAGTAGAATGTTGGTGGGAGTGCTACATCTGTATCCTAGCGCCAGTCGGCTGGCCGTGTACTGTATGGATTCGAGTTTTGACCGGTACTTTTTCGTGTTAGGGTAGTAGGCAAAAATTCCGTAATCTATTATAGATCTTACGTAACTCTTGTATAATCCAATTAAAGTTTCAGGGTCTGTTCCCCACCAGGTGGTTCGCAGAAATTTGATCAAGTTGAGGGATTTAAGGCATCTTTGTTGGATCATTGAGATTTGGTGGTTGAAACTTAATTTTTGATCGAAATGCCAAGGAACCGTGCCGTGGGAGACGAGACAATCTCGTGGTTCCCAATTCTGATTTTGATATTCTCCGGGGGGGAGCCTTTCTTGCTAAATCTTAGGGTAACTGTTTTTTGGGGAGCAATGTCTAATCCTAATGCCTTCAAGTTGGCAATGACTTGATCTACTGAGTTTTCCAAAATGGCTCTGTCTGATTGATAATCGTTAACTCGCATATATAGAGCGATATCGTCGGTGAAGAGAGAGGATTCTACCCTGGTACTGATCCTTTTCAGGATATTTCTGGTATATATGGTGTACAGGATTGGAGGAGATTGAAAGAAAGAATATCATTATATCAAATCATAATAATAGCTGATTATAAGAATGGAAGATTTATTTTTTTCGAAGATCGATGTAATTTTTCTTCTCTATTCAAACGAGAGAGAAAGAAATGACGAGTCTGGGACTATCCCAATGATTCCTTCAGTATCTTCTCAATCTTTTCCATATCGGAAGGTTGGATTACTGAAAAAATGAATAGATATAGATAGAGGAATTTCTGACAGCAGAATCAATAAATGTTGATAATTACCATTATATGGTTTTTGACTTGCTGCAGGGACAAAATAAACCCCTGAAGAATCTTCGTTTTGATTATCCGCTAGAATACCCATGGCCAGACAATTCGTTCTACAAGTATTATTATAGAGAAAATCTAGTGCCGAAGGTAAGTCATTGCGCTTCCATTTCATTCCTATCAACGGCGGTTCACCTGCATTCACCAATTCCAAAGATTGGATGAAATAACGGGGGGCTTTTGTGTGACTACAAACCGCCGTGAAAAAACCTGTGAAATTGATTGTACCTTTAAGGATTGTAGTGTCAACATCGTACGAAAATAATTGCCATTACCGAATTGATGTAATATGAATACAGGTGGTTCCAAAATAGGTGACTGAAATGTTAAGGGGCGAATGAGAGTGAAATTTTGTTTCGAAAGTTTCTTTTCGTCATTTCTGCGTAAAGTGAAGTTTTACGCACGCTTCGCATGGGTAAAATCCCACTTTCCACACATTGTGATGAAAAATAGGATTCGACACTCGCGAAAGAAGGGTTTTTCATCACTTGTGCATAAAGTACATTTTAGACCCGCTCCGCATACGCGAAATTCCACTTTTTACACATTGTGACGAAAAATAGGGTTTGACACTCATTCGAAAAGTGTTCTGTAACCCTTGGGCAGCACTCGCTTTGGCGGGCGTTACATACCTTCCACGGCTCAAACAACACTTTTACGTACTCGTATCGAAATATACTATTTCAACACTTGTGCGTAAAGTGACATTTTACCTACGCTCCGCGTGGATAAAATTCCACTTTTCAAACATGGTGAAGCAAAATGGGATTCGCCACTCGTAGGAAGTGTTCTTTGACTCTTAACACGGTAGCACTCGCCTTCGGCAAGTGCTACACTGAGAAACAAATTTTCTAATATCGGAAACATATTTTCTTGAGACAAGTAAATTTTCTTCAATTGCTTAATTCTCTCAGGCATCTCAACTCACATGACCCGAGAAAAACCGCATGCTTTAAAATATTCTTGTACTCAAGTATGATTTTGTCGCAAATGAACTTACTTAAATCGCGTAGAAGAATTGTCAATCTTCTAGTCTTTATTGTTTTCATGATTTTTTCATTATGCACTTCCAATATTGCAATATGTAAAATATTCATGATGTAACGCGGAACGATAGTGATGAATGAAAATTTTAGGGACGCTTCGCGTGCATAAAACGTCCCTTTTCCAAACATTGTGATGAAAAATATCGTTTGATACTCGTGGGAAAAGTGTTTTTTGGCTCGTGGAATTATATGCCCACGAGCCGAAAAAGTCTTTTCCGTCCCGGCGGGCACAAAGTTACATTTCCCTCCCGCTTCGCGGGAGGAATCTCTGACTTTGCGCCTACGCCGAGACGGAAAATCGCCTTCTAACCACGGGAAGTAAAATAAAGGACCCTCAGCCGCGTGCTTACCAACCTCGCCTTCGGCTCGGCTGGTAATTGCATTGGCGGCTGAGGATACTTTATTTTCCCTCCCTAGGTTAGAAATATACTATTCCGCACTCGTAATGAAATATACTATTTTATAGACCTGCACAGAAAGTACCCTAATGAGTGGAAGCAAAGTAAGTACTTCCCGCCCTAGGGTGCAAAGTTGCTCCCTCGGACGGAAAGTAGTGATTACTCCCCTCCCCCCAAGGGCGAACAGCCTGTTCTTTCCTCCCTCGGGAACAACTTTCTAGCCTTGAGCGGAAAATATTCACTTTCCTCCCGCTCATCAGAAAGCAAAATACGAACTTTCCTTTGTATGCGTGCTAAAAAATAGTGTGAGCGCCTCGGGTGCGGAAAACATCACTTTCCGCCCTTTGTGCACAATATACTATTTTCTGATTTGTCAAAATTTTTTCTAGATTTTAATATGAATACAATCTTGAAAAGCTCATTTTCAGATGCAGAAGCTCATTTTCTCTTAAATTAATTATGATTAATTGCACTTCTACTAGACTGTCGATTGCGCGCAAGTTCCAGTTGAATGTTTCAATCCATATTAATTTCCATTTTTAATTAATTTCAAGTGTTAAAATTCGAAAATCGAGTTGTGCTCATACACGGAGAGAAATATTCGATAAAAATTACGTATCTTTTCCGTAATTCCGAAGCGAAATGTGGTCGTAAGAAATTTTACGGAATTGTAACGGAATTTTTCCAGAGTGTTCCGTAATTTTTATCTGAATCTCCTGTGAAAAATTACGATACGGTCACTTAAATTTTGTGAGTTCATTCCGTAATCGGTGAGCGAATTGTGAGTTCTGTAACTTTTACTGAACATTTCTCTCCGTGTACTACTCTGATGAATGGAGAAAATCCCCCTGTCTTGTCAATGATACCCCTTGCGATTATCCACGTCTTCATTGTCTCACGCAGTTAGACGATAGAAACAGTCCATTGCAAATTTTCTTATTTGTGCTTAGTGTACAACTAAACTACTCACCAGATTTATCATCTACTACGCTGTCATACCAAGAGATATTCTCAGGGCAACCCGGTTGTATCTGCCCCCTGTTGACGTAAAAATCGACATGACCTGTAAAAATTATGGCACTAGTTCATGAGTCCAAAAATAGAAAATCACGATCTATAACAGGAGTTTTGAATTCCAACCTATGGGCATTGCCGTGCCGAATACCACGTCAAATCGTTGATCCCCATTTGTATGAATGATATCGACGAATGGTGCATCGCTCGCATTCAACCTAACAGCGTTATCTCCAAAACACGGATCAGCTGGATCCAATCCCGTTATTCTCTCAATTTTCCAGATATCCTGCTTTTTATTGAATCTCTTTGCCACATTTGCCATAACTTGCGCACCCAGACTGAATCCAATCAGGTGCATAGGTGCCAACGAAGTTGTATTACCGAATTGATAAACGATGTCTTCGAGTGAACTGTCAATCACGAATATCAGTAAAGTAAATTTAATTAGTTCCATTTGAAATGACGATTTTTGTGGTTGAAACTTACTCCACCACTTGTTGAGCGCATTTTGCGACACCCTCAGTAGATGCGTAGTAGTCCACAGTCAATGTGAAGACACCCCAGTTCACAACAATGACATTGACATCTTTCTGCGTGAGATATAATATTGATTTCATCGGAAAGCAAATTCTAATATATTTTGCACCAAGTGCGGAAAGTCACGTTTCCCAACCCAAGGTGCACATGCCAGTGTTCGCCGGGGCGAACAATGGCATGTGCACCACTGAAAAATTACCAGTGGAATTATCAAAAATTATCGGTAGTAATACCACTATAGTGCTTCAAAATTATCTGATATTTTCCGATAGCTTCGTTGCCTAGGAACGATTGTGTCAAATTTTGAAGGTTTAAAATCCTGAGTGCGAAGCACGAGGGATTTATCTGCAAAATTTGCTACACTCGTTTCTAGGCAGGGAAGCTTGAGGATAATATCCGATTAATTTTGAAGCACGAGTGGTATTTGACGGATTATTTTTTCACTTGGATTTCGGTCAAGCAGAGTGCAGTGAACAGCATCCGGATGCATTTACACAGCCATACATTTACAACCCACTTTTTTGTTTATCTGTCACACAGAATATTAAACGTGAAATGCGTTGAAAGATGAGAAACATTTGAAAAGCTACTAGTGAATTTCCGCAAGTAATACCACGAGAGCTTCAAAATTATCGAGCAATTCCCGATAGGTTCATTGCACACAAACGAAGGAGTCAAGCTTTTCAGGTTAGAAAATCACGAGTGCGAAGCACGAGTGATTTTTCCTGAAAACCTTGATGACTTCGTTTATGTGCAGGGAACCTTGAGGAAATTACTCGATTAATTTTGAAGCTCGAGTAGTATTCGGGAGGGAATTTTCCCATCCAAATGTCGGCCAAAAGGAATGCACTATGAGACAAAATCCATCTGACAGTTCTAACCAGGGGTTCACTCGACCACGGAATCTTTTGTTTTCCACAAATATAGTCAACATGAAAAATTACCAGTTGAATTATCAAAAAATATCAGCTGAATACCGTGATGACTATATAAAATAACAGTCGAATAGTGCAATTCTGTTGATTGAAATTTGGATGGGAAAAATTCTCATCAATATTATTTTGATAAATGAAATGACAGACACTACTTACGTATTTTAAATATGCATCAATGAGTGGAGTTATCCACTCGGTTGAAGAGTCTTCCCTGAAGCCGTGCGCAATAAGAACCGTTTTTCTGTTTGGCCTGAAGTCCGAATCACTAATCTTCACGACGCGACCATTTTCCGCAATAATTGTCTTGTTCGAAAGTCTTGTGTGCAGCTCCAACTTTATATTATCATTTGGATCTACATCTCCGGAATGAGGCCAGACCGTTCTGAATACGGAATCCATGGAAACAGTCAGCTTACATTCCCAACCTCCTAGCACCGTGTTTGTGGGCTGGTCAGAATCAAGTCCGTTGAGTATCTGTACTAACGAGAAGACTAGGATGGCAAAGGAAATGCACTTCTGCACAGCCATTGTGGATATGCTACGAATTTTCAACAGAATGGGTGGAACTGAGAGCGAGCTTCGCTTTTTACCACGCGCAACTATCTGGATATTTTAGAGAAAAAGCACGTTTCTGCATTCACGCACGAATTGATAATCATTTAATGTTTTCATTTCATGCAAAATGAAGATATTTCACGTCTTCTTCATTCTGCATAGTTCTTTATATTACTGCAAAAGACTGTTTTTGAAGTGATGAGATAGGAATGAACTTACATCTAAAGAATTTTTAGCTTCCCGACCCAAGGGGAAGAAATTATTGTAATGACCGCGAAAAGCGAATTTGGAATTTCCATGATGTGTTGACGTTTCATGACGTTCAGCATCATTTTCACTTATTTTTGGAGACATGGTGGTACGTGCGCGTGTCTATTTGTGTGTGTGTGTGTGTGTGTGTGTGTGTACATACACAGCAAAAACGAATGTCTGAATTTCACACACCTTGTGTAGGCATTTTTCAGACACTAAAAACATCTGAATAAAATGAAAATTTGTCTGAATTTCAGACGAACAGGTGCCTAAACATCTGATTCATGATTGAAATTCAGACAAATTTTCATTCTATTCAGACGTTTTTTAATGTCTGAAAAATGTCTACAAAAGTTGTGTGAAATTCAGACATTCGTTTTTGCTGCATATCTGAATAAAATTTTGCCCAACAATTTCTCCAGAACTGATAGCCTACATGCCCGAAAAAATTTAGTAGAAAAACCTATCGAATTCGTTTGAAAATTCTATTGAATTTCTATTAAACTTTCTATTAGTTTTTGGCTGATTCTATTGACATGTTCAATAGAAAAAGTCAACAGAATTCGATTTTTCTATATAACGTATTCTTTTCATATATTTTCTATAGAATTTGCTCGAGTCAATTTTTTAAAGTTTTTTTCATTCTATTTTTCTTTTCTTCTCATCAAGAAAATCAAACGAAAAAACTTAAAAAATTGGAGCCGAAGAAATTCTATAGAAAATATCTCAATAGAATAAGTTATATAGAAAAATTGAATTCTATTGACTTTTTCTACCGAATTTTTCTATTGAACATTTTAATAGAATCGGCCAAAAACTAATAGAACAGTTCAATAGAAATTCAATTGAATTTTCTAACGAACTCGATAGGTTTTTCTATTAACTTTTTCCGTCCGTGTGATGCAAAATTTTTTCTTTGCAATCGGCGCATCTTCGTATAACTTAGAACTGATTAGTTTGTAAAAACGATCGCCTCAGTGGCTCTTCCGTTATCGTAAAAAAAATGTGTGAAAAAATGCTCAAAAATGACAGTTTTTAAGAAATTCAACGATTTTGCCTATAATAACGATGAGATTCGGATTAATTTGTTGCAATCGATGCATTGTCACTTGATTCTGATTGGAATATTGATTGTTTATAAATTATTTACAGAAAATGCTTGTAATTTTTCAAAATTTCATTTTTTACATTATTTCATCAATGTTCCCCAAAAGTCAATTCTCTAATTTTTTTTTAGATTTTTAGAATGTTTTCTAGCGGTTCACTGTCGAGATTCGAATTCAGACCTGGAAAGTTTAAATTATGAAATGACTTATTTTTCAAAATTTTCGGAAAAATATGTGGAATAACAATTATGAGCTATTTTTTTAAAATTCGCCTCTTACATGGCTAAATTTGCTTTTTTTGTATTTTTTTACACAAATAGTGAATTCTTTTTATCTGAAAAAAAACCGAAATCACCTGTGTAGGAGTCAAATTCCAAAAAATTGGCTCATAATTGTTGTTCCACACATTTTTCCGAAAATTGAAAAAAAAAAATCTTTTGTAGCTCAAAAATTGGAGGTCCTGGACTGTTTTTAGCATTTAAAGCATTTTCGGGAAAACGAACAATAAAAAATTTTTTTTTTGGACTAATTAGTCGTTTTCAGATCTATATAATCGATCTTCAATGTATGAAAAGTCTCATTCCAATAACCCACGACTTTTAAAACTCATAGTAGTCTCCCCTTAAAGACCACAATGTTACCATCCGGAAGCAGGCGAGTTGGTTTGCCCGAGTAACTTTCAGCATATTCCAAAACTGATTTCACCCAATGAAAAATTTCTCATACAATTTTCTTTCCTATTCTAACTTACAAACGGAATTCCTCAATAATAATTCGTCCTCCCTGTGATGTGTAATTTTCCCTCTCTCCCCCCCTCGTTTTCGGTTCACAGGAGGTTCCACAAATTCAAGTTTCCTCAAAAGCAGACACATTACATAACAACTATTTCACGACTCAATCCGAAAAAATCTAAATGCAATAACTCCAATAACCAAACCCGAAGATCAGGACGGGTAACAGCCGGAACGTTATAAAATCGTTGTCTACATTTGAAGGCCAATTTCTAATCCTCGCCCTGGGCCTCAAGGATAGAGAAACGGGTGCGGTCATTGTGTTGTCATACCCTCGGTGAAACTGTCGTGCAAAAAAAAATTGAGGTAAGGTCACTGGGATGTGCAGAAAAAAATGGTTTTCAACCTTAGGAGCCTTTTGGGAGCGAAGCAAAAACTCGAAAATTTCCGAAGGGTATGGGGTACTCTACAGGTCAGGTCGAGGACGTCGGCAGAGGGAATTGAGTGCAGAAAAAATAGCGGACGGGAAGAAAGGATAGGAGGGGGGGGGGATATAATATAAAAACTCATAATCTCTCATTGTCGTAACGGGTAGATTTGAGGAATGGCGAGTTAGAAATAATTTTCTCAACACAGAGAATGTTCCATAAAGTCATAATACCCTTCGGTGTCCTTTGGGGCTGTTGCATCCACTATTGCGTGACCTCGAGGGAGTGAAAACTCGGCGGCATTTGAAATGAGCAAAAAAACGGCGAGACGGGGAGATGGGAGAGAGGGGTTTTCCGGTCTTCAGCAAACATTGGACTCATCTATGGCCTCGGAATGATTTTTTTTCTCACTGCTCTTATTTTTACGATCGCTTCTGCGTGCCAGAGACAAGGGTTTTGGTTTTATGGCCCAAGGGACGCAACTTCCGCAATTCTAGAGCAGAGTTATAAATTTTGGAGTCTTAGAGAGTGGAAATTTTGGGTTCGGTGGAAAAGTGTCGAAAGAATTGGTTGGAAAATAAAATCAATAAACGGATTGAATGTTGCGGTGTTATTGAGGAAAGGCTATTTTTCCGAAGCTGAATAGATGATCTGGTTAATTTTATGAATAATTTTGAATATTTCCGCATCAGAATTTGAACCAATTGGAATGCAGCATTTGACGGTTTGCGGAGGAGTGGGGATGGAAATATTCCTGTAATTTTCGGTTATTTCCATTCAGCAAACTTGAATGGAAATTTTTTTTTTAAATGAATGAAGTGCTGGTAAGGATACATTGAGAGANCGATTTTCTCAGGTAAAGAAAATTGGAATAATTCCAAATGTTAATAATTATTATTGGAGTTTCTTCGAGGTCATATGCAGAAGAATATTCTTATAGATCACCATAATTCTCACGCTTGGAACTGATTTCGGAGCACCTGGAAATGACTGGCCTGGAGAAATACGTTCCAAAAGAGATATTTTCTTCTACTAAGAGTATGAAAAAGATATCACCAATAACATTTTCTTGGAAGGAATAAATTTTTTTCTCAGTGTACGGCTTTAACCCGTAAAAACGTTAAGGTATATCCCGGGACAATACCACTCAAAAGATAGTCCCCTCCACTGACAGACTGATTAATTTATTCCAAACGAGATTCGTTAACTGTTAACGAATGGTAGAGTTGAATATGACTTAATGAATATTCGTTAATAGTTAACGAATGGTTCACTTGAAAAATGAAAATCGAGTCAGACAAGGCTCCTCAAATGTGTATTTGTTAACTATTAACGAATGAACATTTGGCGAGACCAAATAGACCCTCGTCTCCAACCAAATCCATTCGTTAACAATAACTAATCCTTTTTATCAGTGTGGCAGAAATTCTGACCGGCAGAGCGACTTTCGACAGGCGCGCGCGCCCGAACCTTTGGTCTCGTATATTGGGCGCGCTAGGGGGGACGTTCCGCCATTAGCCACACGTATGCTACACGAGAGTCGCCCCTGGAAAGTCCGGGCGACGGCGTTCGGACATTTAATTTCTACTACGGTCCCGATGGATTTAAATTATTAAATTATTCTGTGAAAATTCAGAAAATTCAGGGAAAAATGGAAAATTCATGTCATTTTGTTTCTGACTATTCATATTCAATTGAAAATTTAATCAAGTGGTGAAATTTCTATCTCACTACCTCTGAAAACTCACGAGTTTACTTGAATTCTACCTAAACCTTGAAATTTCATAACCATTTTTCCCCTAAACTCGATTCAATGCCACTCTCATGAGAATTACCATCCTATTTTCTACGAAATTTCAAAAAAATTCCAAGTGTATACGGCACCTATCGACACAATGTGTTAGATTTAATTTCTTCAAAAATCGTTTTTTGGAAAAAAACGTTCTGACACTAAGGTTGATATTGCGCCTAAAAAATACTCTTGGTCTATTCTATAAACTCTGAATAGGACTTCCCTCATCAAAAATTTCCCCAGCAACTTGGATATCCTTAATGCATCGTTAAATAGAACAGCTACTATCGCACGCCTGCAGTCGCCTGCTTGTTCTGAATTGATATCGATCATGTAAAGAATATCATGAAAATCATTTCCACACATTAACATTTATAAAAGAACGGTGAAATGTTCGAAAATTATCACATATTTCACATCAATGTACAAATATAAAAACGTAAAATGTAGTGGCAGTAGACAGCAAAAAATGTGAAAAAAGTCAGTACTCAAAATCATGAATAATTGGTATACATCCATGTTTTATACCCATCGGCAAAAAAATAAGTGTGTGAATCTTCTTGATCTTTGTATCTGCGTCGAATTCCATTCAATTCTATTACATAACTTCCATTGGCTGTCCTCACTTGAAATTTCTTCCTCTCTCCCACTGTATCCTTCGTAA